CCCCCCGAACGTTGCCCCTGAGTTCCAAGGGCTCCCAACGTCGCGTTTCGCGCTGCGCGAAGCGCGAAGTGCGAATAACTTCGCGCTCTCGCGCCGCCTCCCAGGGGAGAAGAGGATGAGGAATCGGAGCCGAACCGCGAAGCGCGAAGCGCGAATAACTTCGTGCCCTCGAGGGCGCCCTTGGAGTTCCGAGAGACTCGCCTCACCTGAGCTGGGGCGCCAGCGCCTGTACCAGGGTTGCCGAGAAACTGCATGTGGAACGACTGCCCCATCAGGCTCTTGGCTTCGGGGAGGATCGCCTTGCAGGGAAGAGGGCAGGGGGGGAGCACCCAGAGATGGGGATTGGGAGGAGCAGAACGGGCAGGGAGGCAGAGAGAGCGGGAGCGAGTTGCACGCGCGCCCTTGCACCATGCGGGCACGCGTCGTCCGCGCGGGCGCACTTGTATTTGTACCGATTGGCCTGCACGTGCGCGTATTCAAATGCGAGCCTCGCTCACCTTGCGATCCAACTTGAACCGTCTTTCAGCGGACGATGCATATTAAGCGCTGCGCGGCTGATAGAGCCCCCGTCAAACGGCAACGCATTCCAGTATACGTACGACGGAGTAGAGGTCCGCCGACTCCTGAAAAGGCCTGTGAGGGCCCAGAGATGGCCCCAGGGGCCCCCAAGACGGCCCAAGATATCCAAGAGGGCCTCCGGGAAGGCCCGAAGAGGCCAAGATCGTTGTTTTGCCGTAGGTTTTCGAAGTAGTTTGGCATTTACTTCTTTTCGGCCTACCGACGGCCCGAGACGGCCCAAGAGCCCCCAAAGATCGCCCCCAGAGCGCCCAAGAGGCCTCCAGGATGGCCGAGCGGCCCAAGAGGCCCCCAAGACGGGCCCAAGAGGGTCACAAGACGGCCCAAGCGGCCTCCGAGACGCCCAAGATGGCCTCCAAGACGGCGTTGGAGCACCCCAAGAGGGCCCCAAGTCGGCCCAGAGAGGCCCCCAAGAAGGCTTCCGACGACGTCAGACGGGCCAGGAGCCCACCACGGCCACAGGAGCCCCCGAGAAGCCCCCAAAAGGCTCCCAAGAGGCCCCAAGGAGGCTCCCAAGATGCCTCCAAGAGGCTCCCAGAAGCTCGCAGAGGGCCCCAAGAGTCCCCAGAGGCTCCCAAGATACCCCCTCCTTCTTCTACTCCTCCTCCTCCTCCTCCTCCTCCTCCTTCTCCTCCCCCTCCTCCTCCTCCTCCTCCTCCTCCTCCTCCTCCTCCTCCACCTCCTCCTCCGCTTCCTCCTGATCTTCCCCGCCATCCTCCCCCAAGTGTTCCCCGAAGGGTTTCCACAACTGAGGAGGAACACATGGTCCGATAGCTTGGCGGAGCTCTTGCCACAACGCTCCGCCACATGGGCGATTCCAGAAGGCAGAGGGCGGCGGTGATTCGCCGTAGGCGTCTTCGATCCGCCGCTCCCTGTTGGCTTGCCACAGAGGTGCCTGGAGTTCTGGACCCTTTCGGTTTTGGTTTTGGTTCTTTTCCCAAAAGAACTCTCCCCTCGGGCTCCGGCCCAGCCCGCCGGCCACCCGAAAGGGTGCATAAGACCCGGTTGCAAAGGGTTTTCCTGCTCCAGACGGCTCCAAGATGGCTCAAGATGGCCTCCAAGAAGGCTAATTACGATGGCCTTCAAGTTCGCTCAAGATGGTCCAAGATGACCTCCAAGACTGCCAAAGAGAGTCCAAGATGCCTCCAAGTTCAGCGAGGAAGCCTCCAAGACGGTCGAAGACGGCCCAAGAGGCCCCCGAGAGGCCTCCAAGACGGCCAAAGAGGCGTCCAAGGGGTTCTTCAGGAGGGCCCGACGAAGCTAAAATCATTGATTTCCATTGGGTGTTTGAAGGATTGTGGCATTTGCTCCTTTTTCAGCTTTCCGACGGCCCAAGACGGCCCAAGACCCCCTGGTCGCCCCCAGAGCGCCCAAGAGGCATCCAAGACGGCCCCAAGAGGGCCTCAAGACGGCCCAAGAGGCCTCCAAGGCGCCTAAGAAAGCCTCCAAAACAGCCCTGAAGCGCCCCAAGCGGGCCCGAAGTCGGTTCAGAGAGCCATCCAAGACGGCTTCCGACGGGCCATGAACGTCCTGAGACGGCCCAGGAGGACCCCACGAAGCCCCAAAAGGCTCCCAAGAGGCCGAAGGAGGCTTCCAGGAGGCCTCGAAGAGACCCACAATAAACTCCCAAAGGCTCCAAGAGTCCCCCTCCTTCTCCTCATCCTCATGCTCCTCCTGCTCCACCGACGCCTCCTCCTCCTCCTCCTCAGCCTCGTCATCCACCACCTCCTCCTCCCCTTCCTCCTCCTCCGGTTCCTCTTCCTCCTCCTCCTCCTCCTCCTCCGCCTCCTCCTCCTCCGCCTCCGCTGCGCTTCCGCCTCCGCCTCCGCTTCCGTCTCCGCCTCCGCCTCCGCCTCCGCCTCCGCCTCCTCCTCCGCCTCCCCCACCTCCTCCTGATCGTCATGATCCTCCTCCTCCTCCTCCT